AGAGTAGCTGTATGGTGCTTAGGATGGCGATACTCACTCTGCGACCACACAAAAGACCACACCATCTTGGTCTTCATACCTTCGATTAAAATTAATCTTTGTTGCCTACTTTCAGAGAAGGCTCAACTAGCGAGTCAGTAATAACGTATGACCTAAAATGTATATTTATCATAAGCAAATAAGCATTGAAGCTGAGTATATATCACTTTGCAATGACCAAATAGTCACTTGATATGTACTATCTCAAAGCTACCTAAGCAAGTCATCGGACTTGACAGATTGCCAATATAGAGTAAAAGCTTAGGAGACCAGACTGATCGCAGCTTTAATAAACAAGATTATATTAATTATCCTGGCATGTTTTCATTTCTTCTCTAGTCAAGCTTGGGTAAAGAAGGAATCCATGATGTCTGGGAGAAATTAGCTGGTTATGCCGAAGCTTGAGATAGACGCATGCGGTTTGTAAAAGAGCGCATTTAACTTACACCGCGTCCTTTTGTATCGGCCTGCAAAGTGCCCAACCGCAACTGCTCCCCTGTTCGGCTTTGTCTGAAGTTCTTGATCTCATTAACAGCTGAGATTCCTGACTCATGTCTCGCCTGCGGACAACCATTTTGCACTGGCATTGCACAAAATTTCTCCTCCAAAGGCCGGTTATCAGACCTCGGCACTGAAATGAACGTGTGTGCCAAAGAAAATGCCAGTGGATTTGAGTCACACATGGCTTGCCGACTCAGCTTTAGGATATCGGCGGAGAGACTAGTGCCAGAAACAACTTCGTTGTTACTCCTGCCTTCAATTCCACTTCCGGATCCTGATAAAGTGAGTGAAGTGGCCATTAGGCCAAGCGAATTAGTTCCTCTTGGTTCAGTTGGTAAGGTGTGTCCAATTTCTGACTGCCTTCCTGCCGGCCAACGGTGTACTAAGCCCCCGGGGAAACCATCGATCGGAAAGTTGAGGTCGGTGAATAAACTTTGTTCTTGCATGCCCCTTATTGGGATATGATCTCTTTCATCAGATTGAAAGCGGGATGATTCAGCCCTTGAAAGTGTACATGGGCCTTTTGCTAGTGAGATAGCAGAATAATCCTGTCCGTATAGTGGTAAATCACTTGGTGATCTTATCTGCCTGCCTTCCATGGCTGGGCCTATGTTAATCTGATGAGGTTGTACCGGTTGCGATAACATATCTGTCGTTAGTGAAGCTTCTGTTAATGCAAGACTCCGAGGCCAATTTGACCTTGAGTTCTCTGCAAGTATCAATGGAATTTGCTCATTTTTCACCTCCGAAAAGTCGGTGATAAGCAGTACAGGATGCGTCACTAAGCAAACAAAGGGAGATAAAATGATAAAAAACATAAATGAACAGCCTATGCAAATATGCTGAGCTTTAATCAAAATTAAGCTAAATTTCCAATGAGAACTGTAGTTGTTATGAGCTGCATAAGTTGATGAAAGATCGGTAGATGAATTTTCCCACATGGATATATATGTATATTTTACGATGCCATTAACAATTAATAAGTCTTGTGTGGTCCAGTCTTGCCCAACATAAGGTATTTTCATCCAAGATGAACCTCGTCCTAGTCTCATCATCACCCTCAAATGGAAGTAAACCTGTATCGTATTCGTAAAGTGAAGACACGCTAACACTACTCCACGCAGCTACGCGCGCTAGCAGGTCACAGAATAGATGTGACCATCAGGAAATGTCAGCTAATTTTTGTTTTCATTTCTCCTGAGAACAGTTCAGAAGCAGGCAATTTTGGACTCTTCATTAAATAATACTTCGAAATATTATTTAAACTTGTGCAACGATGTGTCCGAGTAATCATCGACGTAAAATATTTAGTAATCGTCAGATTTTCTTAAGACTCAAGTGAACCCGAGCCAAGCTCATATCTGGTGTATAACATAATTTGGGAACCAGATATTAATGGTAGATTTCGTACTCTTCCTTTATTGTTGCCCTGCTAGAAATGGCTTAGGAAAGGTGTTCTTTCTTGAAGCTGTCCACAAACGGGCATGAAATTGTTGATATGAAGACCAAGCTGGTGTTGCCTTCTGATTGACCGCAGTTTCTCTTAGCTGTATATTGTTGACTTGACCTCGTTCTCACAATTTGGTCGGAGAATCAGGGAGACCTTGTAGAGCGTATC